ATATATATATATATACACACTTTTTTAATTAAAAAAATTAAACTATTATTTAAGAATTTTTATCATCAGTTTTTAATTTTATTAAATTGTACCTTAAATGTAAATAAATATTATAAATTTTAACGCATATTTTGCATTGCAATTATTAGGATTTAAATAAATATAATATTAGGATTATTTTTCAAATTGAAATGAAAATAATTTGTGTAATTTTTTTAAAATAATATTTAAAAATTTTGATAAAATTTTGGAATATAATTCAAGTTTACTATATTTTTAGATTGGAAGAATATAGGCTTTCATAATATTCATAAAAACTAAATGGAGAATATTTCTTTTTTTTTTTTTTTTAAGTCAGAGTTAGAAAATAAAATTCCTATTTTTTAATTCCATCAAAATCGTTTTCTAAAATAAAATTGTTCTCTAAGAATGTCAAAGACTTAGAAGCATACATTATCTGGGCTAGCAAGGACCCAAATTTAGTTAGCTGACCTATTTGAGAGGAGAGTATCTATTGCCTAATCATGTTACGAGATTGGATATGATTGAAACCTCTCTATAATGGATGTGTTTTAAAACAGTGAGACTAACGACGATCTTAACGGACAAAAATGGATAATAACTGTGAACAATGGGCTATTGAGCATTACAAATGATATCGAAGTCAGATATTAGGTATTATGCCATCTAGAACATTGCACTACCTAAAGGGGTGTGGATTGTTAGATCTCACGATGCTTGGTTCCCAAGAGACGGGTTGTTAGATTCTACATCGATTAGAGAGAGAAATAACATTGGACTCTCAAGGGGTAAATTGTTAGATTCCACGACGTTCGTCTCCCAAAAGACGAATTGTTAGATCCAACATCTGTTAGAAAGAGAAACAAAATATTTTCATACTCAATAGATCAAAATAGACAATATCTATTAGTACTGAGTTTTGATTATTACGGTTGATATGCATTATAAAATTAGGTTAGGATTCCAAGTAGTTTCAAAATGGGGGCGGCGCCACCATTGAAAACCATGCTCACGGTTATCCTTTTCACCCAACAAATCAACTTAATTAAACACACGTATTTCTCGAAAAAAAAACAAATATAAATATTCTTTTTTTTTAGAAAAAAAAAGATAAAAACGAAAAAAGCTTGAACACACGCAGACCATCAACGCTTAAAAAGACATCTTGTGGGGTCCACCAAGTCTGTTGACTTTAGAACCATATTCCTACAGGACAAAAAGGTTACTTGGGCAACAAGTTAGACACGTGTAATT